CAGTGTAATACGTTCTGATTTTCTCTTTACCTTATACGGTCAAATAATGTAAAATTTGAACATGGACGAATAGCAGACTTCGTGAAAAACAAAATCTACATGTAAGTACAAAGATTGTTTGCACGAGTACAAGATATTTCTATTCAGCCTTTTCGACATTAAAGAGTTTCAAGAATATGCAATCTATCCTATTCCAACTGTTGGTGCCGATTTAATGGAATGGTCATGTAACCAACCCAAATAGATTTTCTTTTCTACGAGGGAAGAAACTTCTTCAAATTAAATCAATATACACACACATATTCAAAAATCACGGCATGAAGACAACACAAACAAAACGAATGTCAAATTTACACTGGTGTTATTATTCCCGCCATCTTTTCTTCGCTCAGTCGGTCCGTGCTACCTTGTGCTTGTTACTAGATAAACTGAATCTGAACTTCAAGTTTGTTCAATAACAGCTATTTATTTACTTAATTCTGTTGAAAACTTAGGTTCGATTACCAAGAAATCGAGCCTACCGAAAACTACGCTTCAGAAAATTTGTCCCCTTTCCCTGGTTGTGAGTGCATACACATACCTTTTAATTCCTGCTCCAAGTTCACGAATGCAGCTGGGGCGGTTGATTAGTTTACGCCACAATATGAACCTGCAAGTGAAAAGTTCGTTAAGATTTTGTAAACAATCAAAATAACAGTTTAAAGAGGTTAAAACTGTAATATTTAATATAATTTGAACAGGACTCAGTTTTACAGCAGAAAAAGTAAATAATAGTAAAAAACAGCGTAAAATGACCAAGTTCAGGCTGAAGCCCATCGCTAGGAGCGTGCAACTACCCCATATTCCTTTCAAGGCGTTTTCACCGACCGATCTATTCTTAGTTTAAATTTACCGCGAATTCAGACTCCGCAGGAACCTCAGTGACCAATCATAAGCACGGACTTAGTGTGGGAGTTGCACGCTCCCGGTGATGGTTCGTGCCAAATTTTGAATATTAAGGAGGACGCAAACCATGACGACTTGTTCATCTGTATTTACGTTTGCATTAAACATTTTAGCTTGAGCAAGTTTTAACTCCGCTATAAGTGCAACTCATCCAGCAAGGTATAAAATATCAATTCATTTTAACGATTTAGTTATAGTAGCTAGTTTGGGAAGAAATAATTCACTCCCTGGGTTAGTCAGTCAGTGAGTCAGTCAGTCAGTCAGTCAGTGAGTCAGTCAGTCAGTCAGTCAGTCAGTCAATCAGTGAGTCAGTGAGTCAGTGAGTCAGTGAGTCAGTGAGTCAGTGAGTCAGTCAGTGAGTCAATCAGTCAGTCAATCAGTCAGTGAGTCAGTGAGTCAGTGAGTCAGTGAGTCAGTCTGTCAATCAGTCAGTAAGTCAGTCAGTCAATCAGTCAGTCAGTCAGTGAGTCAATCAGTCAATGAGTCGTCAGTCAGTCAGTCAATCAGTCAATCAGTCATTCATTCATTCAGTCAGTTAGTCCTTCAGTCAATCAGTCAGTGAGTCAGTGAGTCAGTGAGTCAGTGAGTCAATCAGTCGATGTTTGGTAGTAATTCTGCTTATCAGGGTATTTACAGCGACTGTTAACCGAGAATTTCACGCCCAAGAAGTGTTTTTCTACCGCGAATTATTTCAAATATCCATACCGTCTTATTTTCTTTTATAATTACATTACCTTTATGGCTTGAACATTTTTATGTTCCAATACCTATACAAACGCAAACCGTCCGTTCATAGCTCAGGGGGAAAGAAAAGGCTCCGCAACAGGATTTGAACCGCGGCGCCGACCTCAACCCGTCAACTGCAGATTACCCGGCAAGAATCTTACCACGTTGACAACGTGTAACTGAGGAATGATTTTGAAAGACAAAGATCTATAAAAATACATCAGAGTTAGCTGTAAACCGCTGATCAGGAGATGATGACCACAGTGGAACCGAACATGATTCGAACAGAGAGCTTACAGTGCGCGACTACGGATTCAAATGGAAGTTGTTTTCTGCTGGAGGTCACTCAATTTTTCCACCAGGTGACTTGTGTTTCTGGCCACGTTATCTATACAAACAATAGCCTCCATTTGGCGCGAAAATATGCAAGGATATTTGTCCGCGGAGATTATCTGTTCCGAGAAGCAAACAGTTTTCCGTGAGCGAAGCTGGAGGAAAACTGTGAGCTTCGAGGAACAGATAATGTCCAAGGACAAATATCCGAGCATATTTTCAAAGTCGAATGGAGGCTATTGTGTTTATTATCCTTCAAATATTTTTCACAACACGCGCAGTTTCGAAAATTGCGAAATATTCTGGGATATTCCCCAGTTTTAGCTGAGGAATATTCGGTCACGTGACGCGTTTAGACCAATCACGCGCGAGCGAAAATATTTGATAGATTATAAGCATGGATATTTTTAGATTCTAGACACGTTTTCTCTTTCTCAATCTCCGCTGAGGTCAGGAGATCGCTTGGCGCGTACTCATTTGACAAAGCGCATGATTTGCAACTCTAAAAATTTAGCGCTTCACCATTTTGGTTACTTTAGAGCCTGCTCTCGTGTGAGTAATTTCGATCCTCTGATTCAAGGCATTTTTGAGGGATTATGCATTACAAATGCATGATGCCCTCTAAGGGTCTCTTTACACGAGCCGGGAACCGGGTTGGCTTGTTCTCTGTTCATACGGAAAATTTCAGTCCGGTCGACCAGGATGAAATTCAAGAAACAAAACCAAAATGGGGGAGCATAAACTTTTATCGCTCACGGCTATCGTAACTTCGTGGACTCTTGTAACTTTACAAACAGAGGTAATTAGTTAACCTCTATAATGGATACAAGAAAAGAATTTTGCTATTTGTCCGCTATGTTGCGAAAGCGACGCTATTTTGCCAGAAAAAAAATTCGTCCTGGTCCCACGGGCTGGAGTGTTCATATGGCAAAATTTTCATCCCGGTTATCGAGATCTCTACAGCAACACCAAGTGTGCAGTGATCGATGGAGCAGGCAAATCGGATTGGTTTACCGTGAAAGCAGGAGTGAAACAAGGTTGTGTAATGTCAGGGTTTCTCTTCCTGCTGGTAGTAGATTGGATTATGTGTAGGACTACAGAGCAAGGTAATACAGGGATTCGATGGAAGATGATGAGACAGCTTGAAGACCTAGACTATGCCGATGACATTGCGCTCATTTCCAGCACATGGACGCAAGCACAAACGAAGTTAGAAAGGCTGGGGAGCAACAGTGAAGGTACGGGTTTGAAGATAAACGTCGAAAAAACGAAGGTGCTTAGACTCAATGCTAGGAGACAAGATCCTTTAATGATAAACGGCATTGATGTAGAGGATACAGACAGCTTTGTCTATCTAGGGGCCACTGTTAACAACTTGGGTGGTGCCGAACAGGACATTCGGAGTAGGTTAGGTAAAGCTA